GCAGGGCACCGCTCTGCTTGGGGCTCTTATTAACTGGGGCATCCAAGGGATCTCGGTCCTCATAAACCCAGCCAGACCCCGCGGTCCTCCCGGGGAGCCTCACGCTATCCAGGGGGTGGAGAAGGGGGGATTTGGCTCCGGGGCTCTAATCACTGCCAACCTGCAGCTCCTTTTGGCCAGGAAGGCTTTGGCGGGCAGCGTGCCGTGGGAGATCAGACGCCCGGGGCTCTGCCAGCCGACACGTGCAAGAGCAGCAGCGACGGGAGCTTATAAATCAAACCTTGCTCAGTGGGGCACCAAATATTTACATACGCTATCGCCCTCCTGAATAGGAATCAAATATCCACTAAACGCGGTGGAACAAAAGGGGTTATCTTAAATTCGGGCTTTTAGTAGCGCACGGGGCTAATAAATAATAGTGTCTCCTTGAGGGAGGATTTGTAGGAGGAAAGGCAAAGGCTACGAAAGAGTAAACAGCAGCTAACAGGCCCTTTGTCTTTGCTATCTGAGCCCGGGTAAAGCAGTCCCGTCCACACGGTCATTGCTAGGTCCTTTCCCCGACGGTTTCCATAGGTGACCTCGACCTTCAGCAAGAACACCTCTCATGCGGGGTAAGAGCTGAGACCACAGCGATTTGGGGGTCTGGTGTGGTCTTCCTCCATTCTCCCAGTGCGAAAGGGGGATGGCTCAGCTGGGCACCCCATGCCCCAGCAAGCTGAGATGGCCCAAGGCAACCTCAGCGCATGGGAATGCTGAGCAAGAAAACTGCACAAAGATGGGTCAAACGTGTCCCAAATGGGGGGGTTTCCTGCTCCCCCTGGTCCGACCTGTGCTTGCCGACCGCAGCAGGGGCTCGGCACCCCCGGGCACCCCAACACTCCTCACCCCAGGTACCTGGAGGTGCTGCCACAAGGGCATGGGAGACGCTGCGCCCATGAGCTGGCCTGCCTGCTGAGCTGCTAATTCCTGGCGGGAGCTGGCTGCCCTGGGAAGCTCAAGTCTGCACCACAGACCCGTGCCATGCCAAGGAAATTCCGGTATAAAATGCCTTTGTGAAAGACAAGATGACAGTGTGAGGGTTCAGCCTTACGCCAGCCAGCACCTCCCCTTGTGAACCTCCCTACTGAAAAGCCCCATGCAGCAGGAGCCGGGTGGAGGGAACCAGGCCAAACCCTACCCTGACATCAGGGTGAAATGCGTCACTGGTGGCTGATGGCTATTCATGCTCGTCCCTATCAAATGGAAACAATTAATGAACTATTCAGCCTGCTGTATGCTGGACATACCGAGCAGGGAACTGAGCAGGGATGGGCAAACCTCAAACAATGCAGACGTCTGGATGCTTGTCTAGGACAAACCCGAATGAACAGTTTTGGTCTGATGGGGGAAGCTCCCAGGGCGCATCGCATCGAGCACGGGCACAGGAAGGAGTCACCCCAGCAGCTTTGGGCACCTCCAGGGACTCCTCATTTATCCTCAGGCTTTGCATTTTCTGAGGATCGTGGAACAAATCCTGCACGGCAATGCAGCAAACAGAGCCCTCACTCCTGGCTTGATGGGGAAACAGCGGCATGGAGAGTTACTGTCCCCTGAACGAAGCCTCTCGGGCTGGGAGCGTGGTGGGTTAAGACATCGGCATGTCCTGCCCCATCCCGGTGCCAGGTGCCAGTCCCAGCGCCTGCCAAGTCCAGAGTCTCCTGGCCACATCCATGGGCTGGAGGACCGGTGGGCGAGAGGACTAGTCATCCGGGACAGCCAAGGAAAGGATGGGAATATTATAAAGTAGAGAGGCTTCTTGCAACGCTCACATGCTTGAAGACATTTCAGGCTGTCTGCAGGCTGTGGGGGAGAGGTGCAGCAGGGCCTCTTTGCTCAGGATGGATTTGGCACGTTCCTGAAGTGTATGGAGGGGAAAACGCACCAGGAGCAGTCCTCGGCCAGCAAAGCACGCTCAGATCTAAGCACGTACCTCAGTCCCGTGGCATCGATCTGAGTCAGGGCTGGTACAATCTGGCGTTGGCTACAAACGTCGAGGCCAGGCGAGACGAGGTTTGAGGGATGATTTGCTTCTCTCCAGGTCTATTTCTGGTCCCCACAGCTGAGCCGTGGGAGGTTTGGCACCTCTCCCCCTTCCGCTGGGTAGCAATGCACCGAGGTGGGTGGGTGCAACGCGGAGAGGCTGCGCGGCTCGGGCTCTGCCACGGCGCGTGGGGCTCGGCGGCTGAGACGC